AAAAAAAAAAAAAAAAAAAGCCTTTTTTCCCCCAAAATCCATGAGGACAAAAGGTATTGTCTATTTTTTCATCTTTGTGCTTAACACATTATTTGTACATAATAGACACTTAATAATATCATGAATTTCTCAGAGCCTAATATAGTACTCTTCATGGATTCTCAAATACTTACTGGTTGGATTTGTTGTTTAAGACTGGGCGCGGTGGCTCACACCTGTAATCCTAGCACTCTAGGAGGTGGAGGTGGGTGGATTGTTTGAGATTACATGTTTGAGATCAGCCTGAGCAAAATCGAGACCCCATCTCTACTAAAAATAGGAAAACTGAGGCAAGAGGATCACTTGAACCCAAGGGTTGGGAGATTGCTGTGAGCTATGACACCATGGCACTCTATCCAGGACAACAGCTTGAGACTCTGTCTCAAAAAAATTACCTACCTCTATTCTTTCCTACATCATATTCCATATGATCAAGAAAAAAAAAGTAGAAATACCTTTAGAAACTATTAATTAGAAGAATAAAAATAAAATCTCATATGGAATTAATAAAACTTTGTATAAAGAAAGTACAAATGTGTACTCTGTTAATTATTCATTTTTAGTTCTTAACACTTCTATATTCTTGTGACACTGGCACTGTAACTCTGCAAACTTTTTTTTTTTAATTTCAGATTAACATGAGGGTACAAATAATTGGGTTACATTTCTCTTTTTTGCGACAGTCTCAAGCTGTCTCAAACTCTGGCTCAAGTGGATCCTCTTACCTCAGGTTTTCTATTTTTAGTAGAGCTGGGGTCTTGCTTTTGCTCAGGCTAGTCTCGAACTCGTGGGCTCAAGCATTCCACCCACCTCTGCCTCCCAGAGTGCTAGGATTACAGGCGTGAGCCACCTAGCCTATTCGCATTCCTAAGGTAAAGTTCAAGTTGTAGTTGAGCCCTTCACCCAGGGTGTATGCTGTATACCCTTATTTCATGCACATAAGGTGAGAGCTCACCAATTCCCCTTCCTTTTCCCCCCTCCCCCCACTTGAATATATTTGTGTTTTTCTCTTGCATGGACATGCACTTTTTCTATTGGTTTCATATTAGTATGGAGTACATTGTATACTTGCTTTTCCATTCTTGTGATATTTACTAAGCCAAATGTGCTTCACCTCTGCCCAGGTAAATACAAAAAATGTAAGGTCTCTTTTTATGGCTAAATAGTATTCCATGATATACATACACCACAGTTTATTAATCCATTTATGGGTTGATGGACACTTGTGATCTTTACAATTGTGAATTGAGCTATAGTAAACATTGTAGTGCAAATGTCCTTGTCATGAAATCTTTTTTTCTTTTGGGTACATACCTAGTAATGAGATTATGGGATTAAATGGAAGGTCTACTTATAGCTCTTTGAGGATTCTCTATACTTCTTCCATAGAGACTGTTTAGTTTGCAATCCCATCAGCAGTGTAAAAAGTGTTCTCCACATCCATGCCAGCAATCGCAGCTTTGAGATTTTGTGATATGAGCTATTTCACATTTCTTTCCTATCTATTCTTTGTTAAAAATCTGCTAATAAAATGTACTAGAGGGAGACTGGAAGATTGAAGAGTGAAAAAACATGCTCTTGCTCTTTCCTCTTAGCTTTCTCTGTCATTATTTTTTCTCTACTTCTTTGAGCCAGAAAATAAAAATTAATGACTCAAAAATACCTTTAGAAAGGTAATTAGGCTGGGCACAGTGGTTCAGGCCTATATTCTAGCACTTTGGGAGGTCAAGCTTGAGCTCACAAGTTTGAGACCAGCCTGAGCAAAAGCATGACCCCATCTCTGCTAAAAATAAAAAAACTGAGGCAAGAGGATCACTTGAGCCAGAGCTGAAGGTTGCAGTGACCTGATGCCATGGCATTCTACCCGGGGCAACAACTTAAGACTGTCTCAAAGGGAAAAAAAAGATAATTAGAAGCATGAAAACAAATTTCCTGTAGAGTTTTTTTTGCTTGTTTTATTCTGTTTGAGGCAAGGTCTCCATCACCCAGGCTGGAGTACAGTGGCCTAATCATAGCTCACTTTAACCTGAAACTTTAGAGCTCAAGTGATCCACCCATGCCAGCCTTCTAGATCACTGGGACTACAGGCGTGTACCACTGTACCTAGCTAACTTTTATTTTTAGTTTTTTAGAGACAAGATCTTGCTATATTGCCCAGGCTGGTCTCAAACTCCTGGCCTCAAGTGATCATCCTGCCTTGGCCTCCAAAGTACTGGGATTATAGTCACGAGCCACTGCACCTGACCTCATGTAGAATTAAAATGTAATGTGAAGTATGTCTGGGCTAGGCATAGTGGTTCATGCCTGTAAATCCTAGCACTCTAGGAGGTGGAGGCGGGTGGATTGCCTGAGCTCACAGGTTCAAGACCAGCCTGAGCCAGAGAGAGACCTCATCTCTAAAAATAGTCGGGCATTATGGCAGGCGCATATAGTCCCAGATACTTGGGAGGCTGAGGCAAGAGAATAGCTTGAGCCCAAGAGTTAGAGGTTGCTGCGAGCTATGATGCCACAGCAATCTACCAAGGGTAACAAGGTGAGACTCTCTCTCAAAAAAGAAAAAAACAAACAAATACCTGTCACAATCTACAGACTATATGCCAAAAAACAGATTTGTCTCTGACTCTGAAACTGATAAGAAAGACTGCCAAAGCCTTAAGGCTCAACATAGATAATTCATTAGTCCAGGTACTCCTAATTAATCAGTTAATACTAGATTTCCTGTTAGCTACACTAAAAAAAATCTATACAGTATTAAACACTATCTGCTATGGCCATCTAAATAACTACAATGGGGCCCCACAAGTAGCCCCACATTCAATTAATTTTCAAAAATACTCATTAAGGGGCAGCACCCATAGCTCCGTAGGTAGGGCACTGGCCACATACACCGAGGCTGGTGGGTTTGAACATGGCCCAGGCCAGCTAAAACAATGACAACTACAACAAAAAAAATAGCTGGGCATTGTGGCAGGTAGGTGCCTGTAGTCCCAGTTATTTGGGAGGCTGAGGCAAAAGAATCGCTTATGCCCAAGAGTTTGAGGTTGCTGTGAGCTGTGATGCTATAGCACTCTATCCAAGGCAACAGCTTGAGACTCTGTCTAAAAAAAAAAAAAAAAAAAAATTCAATAAGATTGCCCGGAACTTCAGATTGGTTCTATAAAAGTTCTTAAAACTAAATATTACCTATCTTTAAGCTTACTTAAAAACTGTACTGAGACTATAAGTAAAAATATTAATATTCTCATTGTGAAAACCTTAAAACCCTGCACTTGTCCATATTTGCAGGTAACTGGTTTCATTCTCTTACCCTAGACACAACTCCAACTTTATCCATGTTGGCTTAAAATAGCCACTTTAGGCTTCTGTTTACTTCTTTACCCTAGAATAATTTTTTTTTTTGGCCAAGGCCAGGTTTGAACCCACCACCCCCAGTATATGGGGCTAGCGTCCTACTTGAGCCACAGTTGCCACCCCCCCCCAGAATAATTTTTAAGATATATCATCTAGGTCCTAATTCCAATAACAGACTCACTCCGACCAAAAACTTACTCAACTGGCCTGGACCCCCACCCAAGATGGCCTTTCCATCTTTTACAAGGCCTTCAGCAAATGATCTTTAACCTCTGTCATGACCCGTCTTGCTGCCTCCTTAACTACAGTATGCTATGCTCTAAATGCCCTAAAACCTACATACATTTCAGCCAGTAACCAAGTTCTCCTCAAGACTTAAGGAAAAAAAAAAAAGACCTGACAGCTCAAAAAAAATAGACTGGCCCCTGGGATGTCCTGCTTGCCACCCCTACAACAGTCAAGTTGACTAGATTACATTGCTTCCACATCAAGTCTTGTCCCCCTAAAAAAGCCAA